GGTGTCATCTGCAAACTTACTGAGGGAAAGTGAACTTACTGAGGGAACCAGTATGCCCACTGTTCATCCGAATCCACCCGTGCTCCCTGTCCCTGATGTCTGTGCCCTTTGTCCCCAGGTTCCCTTCTCCGGGCGGCGGATGCACCACACCTGCCCGTGTCTCCCCGGCCTGGCCTGCCTACGGACTTCTCCCAGCAAATTCAAATGTTTACCAGACTTCAGAAAAGAAGATGCCTTTTTTTAGCAGGAGCTATTCTGCGCTAGAAAGAGCCACTCGATGTGTTCGTCTTCTTGTTGTTGTGATGAACAAGGTACTTGCCGGGGGAAACCCTTTACCATACTTTCCTGCCTCACCAACATTAAAACTGAAGATGAGATACCGGGCTGTAGTGGCCAAGGTTTTCCGGAGGGACTCGGGGTGGCGGATGCTTTCATTTTGGGTCAGCAAAATCAGATTTGCTAAGGTGACACTGCTTTCTAAGGGCAGGAGCTTAATGATTTCTGAACCATCTAGTGGTCTTCATGGTTCCAGCTTAACCCCGGAATGAAAACATCCAAGCTTTTGTCAGTTTTGGAAGATTTTGGCCACATCTTTACACTTTTGAATGCTTGAATCAAACGGAGAGTTGAATAATTGCACAGTGTGAAGCATATGACGATTGCCAAAAATCTGTATTTACATTACATTTCGTATCTTTATTAATATAACTGTCTTTGTAAGTTAGGCGCATCTCTAGGGTAAAAGTGTAACCAATAGATGTAGTTTTTACACTTTTTAAAAGCAGCAGGTGGAACCAAAGCATTTCAATATTCAAAGCGTTAAAAGATTTTGTTATTTTAGTATTCTAAGATGAGAAGAAGTTGTTGTTTCTTGAGTTGGTGTAAAATCACCTGATCATCTCAAACTATGTATTAAGATGTAGTTTATATTAAAAAAGGAACCCTGAAGTTTATTGTAATGGGCTGCCTGACTTCTTGTATATGTATGAAATTTGCTGTGTAAAAATTCTGTATCAGAATAATGATATGATTTGATTTATTTTAATATTATAATATTATTTTGTCATTGTGGTTTTCCATTTTTATTGAATGTATTCTGTTACAACATACTCGATTCACCCAAGCTAGCAGAGCTCCTTACAGACAGCTTAGCAAAAGATTATATGCCTCTGGCTGCTTTTAGGGAAACTTTACAGTTTACAAGGCATGAACTCCTCAACCAAGCTGCAGTCTTAGATGATGGGGAATCTTCGTGTAGCTAATATAAGAGGTTTTTCTTGGCACATGCCTCAAAGGATCAACTTCAGCCCAGCAAGCATATAATTTGTGGGGTTTCTATGAAATACCGTGCAACTTCATATTTACTTGTCAGTCCCCGGAGCTGGAATTCCAATAGTTTGTGTGAGTTTCACACGTTTCTTGCTCTCAGACATGCAAACATATGCTGGAACTGGGAAAGTGAAGTCATTCATCTTTCAACAATCAGTACTTTGCTGCTAATGGCGATGAGGGCTTTGAGAGAAGTTAGCATGCTTGTATTAAGGCAAACACCTGTATTAGGGAAGATGAAAAATGTCCCAGCGAGTTTACCAGGTACTTTCCACTGGGCCCCACAGATTCTCTGAGGCGTCAGAAAGGAACAACCGGACTTGTTATTTTGCCAGATCCTTGGGGATCCTGCACACATTAGAAAAGGAGCAGTCTTGAGAGATAGGCTTGCATCCTCCCAACTCTGATCAGCCCAACCCCAGGGCTCCTGCTCCAGTGTCTATACATTTCGCTTCACCCTTTGCACTGGCGATACAGCAGCTGTGCAAGTGGCAACAGACTCAGGTCCTGTAAAAAACGAAAAAGAAAGGCTGAGGTGCCACCAAATGGTAATTTTATATGTGGCGGCATTAGTGTGATCAGGCACAAAGTGCCTGTATTAGCTCTGAGGCCTTAGAGGGGCTCATCGCTAACCCAAAGGGCTGGATTGTGTTGGTGAAAGACCAGCTCATTCCACTGCTCATGCAGCCACCTGTGAGCACTGCAGAAATTCCTATAACCCGGATTTAAAAACAAACCCCAAACCTGATCCGCCACCGTCACTTAATAGTGGGGCACCCCAAACATCCCATGCACCCATAGAGTGTGAGTCTGTAGAGGAGGAACGCACTGGGAGCCTGGGGGTTGCTTTTCTACCCGAGTCTATCAATAGAAAATTAGCTTAATACCATGGACTTCAATTTACACTCAAAGGGAAAATCAAGAAGGAAAATAGAAGCAGCCCGAGTGTGTATGTGTCCCATCCCTTGCTCCATTCATTTTTACCAAAGCACACTGTCATGGTGCTCAAAACGATGAACCACAGCAGGAAACACCAACCCTGCTTCTCATCTCCCACTGGCATAAATCACTAGTGACTCCGCTGAAGGTAATAATCCTGGTTTATATCACTGTAAGTGAGTGGACAATTATGTCTGATGACTGCCTTAGACTTGCCAAACCGAACTCCTAGGAGAGTTTATCAGACAAGAGCAGAGCAACTTTGTAATTGCAATTCGTGCCAATTCACTTGTGGGATTAGGCATTTATCTGGGTAATGAGGACAGCCCCAATTACATGAGTTCAAAGTTCGCACCATCTATAGGAGGTCGAAGTACTCCTGTCCTGCAGATGCTCCTGGATGGGGCATTCAGGCAAGTGGGAGAGAATTTAGTTCTTTGAGAGAGACGTTATCCTGTACTTGTCCTCGAGGGGCTTCTCCGCACCTTTCCTCCCTGGAAAGCGGCTGCTGGCGTAGAAGAGCTAAAGGCAAAACTTAACTGTCCTACATCCCCACTGCGTTCACTTGGCAATCATTATTACCATGATTCCCTTTTAGTAATTTAATTCTTATTAATTGAGGCTCACAATGACGGTTAGTTGATTTGGGAGATCATTTTGGAAGGAAGATTAAGCTTTTGCATCCCAATTCTTTCCTAAAATCTGTCCTGATGAATTCTCTTTTCTGCCACCCTAGGGGAGATTTCCTAACCTAAGCACACTTGCAAAGTACCTTTAATTTCTTTCTGCAGGGGAAGGCGGAAAAAAGCCCTTCACCTCTGCTTTACCGGTGATAATAGGTAAAACAGTGACCACAAGAAGTATTTAAAAATGTAAATGGCCATGCACGCGCCTCTGCTTTTCCCTTGAGCCAGCTTTTGACTTGAGGGACACTGCAAACTTGACCCAACATGACTGATGGAAAAGGCGGCCAGCCTCAAGCCAGCTCTGCCGGGAAAGGATTTCTGCAGACCCCTGCGCTGCTCCGTTTGCCTCAGCATCACCCTGGCAATAACCCCAGGCCAGGAGCAGCTTCCTCGCCTGCCTGGGAGGAAGGGAAGGGAATGGAGCAGGCCCTCGCAGAAATCCGAGAACGAGAAAAGAGAACAAAACCCGGGCAGTCCTGGAAACACCTTTGTGAAAGGGAGAAGTCTCATTCTCCAGTACACACGGCTTTTTAAGAGAGAGCCCGGCTTAAAGACTTTCCTTTACTCACTCCACTTAGGAGTACTATGCCAACATTTGGTTTAATTTTATTAATACTGAGGTAATATTAATTATTAATAGAAATACATGCATTAATTTTTAATATTATATTAATATTGATAGTATAGATATGCTATAGAATAACGGTGATATCACACCAAACTGTAGGAGTCTCCATGTTTATTACCAGGTTTTGGGTTAGCAGAGAGCCATTTCGGGAAAGGACACCGCCACATATAATGAGGTGCTGCCTTAACTTGATTACGTGCTGATTAGGAAAGGTGAAGCAAGGTGATTCGGGTTTGCGGGTGCACAGCTGGCTGAGCAAGCACACACCTGTAAGCCTGCGGGGCTGGAAAGAAAGCTCTGCTGCTGAGCCGGAGAAAACCCAGCTGAAGCTCAGCCTCATCTGCATCCTCCTGCCCACAATTCCCCTCAAGAAATGTTGTCACTTTTTAAAAAAAGTTACAAAATCTTTGGGGGGGTTGTTGACATAAAATAAATTCTCCTGGTTGTGTGGCCAATGGGACTCAGGTCTGCATGGGTGCTTACCTAGGAGGCAGGTCACCCCAACCACAACCCGGGTGTTCTAGGAGGAGTAGCTGAAGTGAGGAGAGCTGCTAGAAGACCCTAGGTCATCCTGGGAGCTGGTGGGATGGGGTAGAGAAGTTTTTGCTTGTGTGGCGAGCTGTAAGGTAAGAATAAAGGGCTGTGGTGCATTATGTTCTCATATAGATGTTAGACCCAAAGCTCTAGTGTGTTAGAAGGTCTTATAGCCTGCTTTTCGAAGAGGTACTTTGTTAACTTGCCTTATCGGCATAATCCACCATCATGGTGTATGATAACAGCAAGTATGGCCACAGACTGAGGTCCTCGCTGATGCCTCCCCCACCCCAGTAGCTCTCTGATTTGTTATTACCGCACAGATGGATATTCAAAAGAAACAGAAGGTGCTAAGAATCCCTTGATTTAAACAAGATGTCTCAGGAATTTGATCTTGACAATGTGTAACATGTTTTCCAGAAGGAATTAGAAAATTGCAGGAACAGAAAAGACTGTGCAAATACAAGCAGATTCTGATAACAGCAAAACCAATGTGCCTTTCTCCAAGACGTAGATATGAAATACCAACCCAGCGGGGGTACAGCCGTTAGACGAATCAATAATTCTGAGCATAGGACTGGAGATGAGTTTAATGCACATCAAACATGCAGTAAATCATCTATCATTTTTCAAGGAGAGTTCTGAGTGCGTGCAGACTCAGCCCAACGCAGTAGGATGCATCTCAATGATTCAGCAGGGCAGATTCCCCTCCGTCATCCAGCCACCTCGGAGGATGGTGGTAGCCTTTGGGCCACGCTGCCTGGTTGTTAGGGCTTGGAAAGGCTGAACGGGAAGGGCTGAAGCCGAGTAAGCCTGGTGCACTGAGGGGAGGGCGGATGGCAGTGTGTTTCATGGCAAGGAACACGGCGCAGGGTAACAGCAAAGCGTGCAGGAAAGGAGGGATGAGCAATACAACCCTATAGCATGCTTGTAAACACCCGCGCGGCAGGGCTTTCCCAAAGCTCTGAGTGTAAAACAGATGAGCACGGGGCAAAAAAAGAATGCATGCACCGTGTAAAAATGATAGTCTCCTCTGCAAATCCCGATTTGCTTGGGAAACTGGGTACGTGTGAATTGTGCACCAGGAGTGCCCAGAGCACCCCGGTTTGATGCTTCTTTGTACAATGA